GCAGCCAAACAGCAGCTGAGGTTGCCCAGGTGCCCTGAGTGACAGAAAGAACAGCACAGGCTCCATTCTCCAGCTCCAAACACATCCAGAGATGCAGACCAAGGCAGCCAGGCTGGATGGAAAAGCCCAGCTCCAAGGCACAGAGCAGGGCTGGCTGCTCACACAGCTCTGGGACCCCGCTGGAGCTTTGCTGCCAGCAGCCAGAGGAGCTGATAAACTGCAGGCACTGCGAGCAGCACTGCTCAGAAAAGCCAGTTTGCTCAGAGCACGTGTCCTTGTCCTCAAGCAGCCTCCAGGGCAGCGACCTCAGGTCCCCTCCTCACCCCAGGAGCCTCCTGACAGGAGGTGCAGCAGTGCTGGGACTCGTCTGGGGCCACACGTGAGGGTTTGGGCCAGGGCAGGCTCAGCAGCCAAGCTCTGCCCTCCAAAGGGTCCCCCTCAGCTCTCAGATTGTAGCTACACATTGGAAATACCACCAAAACCTTCCAAAGGAAATGATTACTTTGAATTTCTGAAATTAAATTAACTGAAATGGAAAAACACCCAATGAAGGAAAGGGGAATAGTTCACCCTACATTTTAATTACCCTACATTTTCACAACAAATGGGAACAGCCTGCCTGACACGGACAAGAAATGAACTCATGGCCTCTAAAGTCAACTCCAGGGATCCAATTCATCCCATTCCTCATTAGGCTCTTCCCAAAGAGAACTTTACCCCAAAAACAACCTCCAACAGCTGTGCAGGAGCTCCACGTGGCTGTTCACAGGGTCCAGCTCCTCTGCTCTGTGTTTAAAAGCAGCAAAGCCTCTAATGCAGCTCAAAGGCTCAGGCAGGAAATGGTTCAGGAAGACAACTGGGGGGTCGTCATCTCTTTCCTGGCATCCCATAATGGCAGAATCCAGGAGCTGGAGGTCCCCTGGGAGAGCTGTGTGCACACAGCAGCTGGGAGAAGCTGTCTGGGCTCCCTGCAGGAGGCTGGGGCTGTTCAGAAACATCAGGATAGAGGCAGCAGCAGGGACATGGAGGCAAGACAGAAATCAGGAGAAGCTGCAGAGGAGGGAGGGTCCCTGATGCTGGAGTGGGGAGCCAGGTCCCTCTGCACTCTGGGCAGAAGAAAGAAAACCACAAATAACATCTGTCTGCTCCTGCTTCACTGCAAGCACCAGCCCCCTGTGAGACCCTGAGCACGCCCTGCGTGGTCCAGGTCCCATCTCCCATCTCCTGGCAAAGCACAGCAGATCAAAGCAGCCCCTCTGCTGAGCCTTGCCCCAGCTCCCTCCCTGGCAGCCTGTCAGCCCTGCTGCCGTCGCTGTCTGGCTGCCCCAATCAGCAGTTTTAATCACTGAGGATCATTTAGATCTAGAACATTGCTGTGCTCTGCACCCAGAGCTCAGCCCCATAAATGATTTCTCCTCTCCCCCACATTCCCCCCACATGGACAGGGATGTTTTCAGACTCATTAAGAGCAGTATCACTTTAATCAGCCTCTTTAAAATAACAATTCTGTGTGCAAACTGACAAAGTCATTCCCTAGGTCCTGCCAAGCCCTTCGCCGTAGGCAAAGGAGCTGAGACGTCCCTTAGCATCAATTTTGTTTGTTTATTTATAAAGTTCACGTTTGATCTTTGTTTAGCAACTGTTTTCATCTCCCTGTCCAGTGGTAAGAACACAGCAGTTCTTCTCTTGAGTCAAAGAATCATGAGTTCTCTTTTCCCAGCTCTGGAAAGCATCCAGCATCAGCCTGGAGAGCTCATCCCAAATTTAGGCAGGCCCAGTGCAGGAGGCTCTGTGGGGAGGGCTGCTCCCCTCCACTGCTCACCAGGAACAGCCCAGCCTCTGGGTGCTGAAATGAAGGTTTTTAATAATTACCTGGTGACTAACTCACCTCCATGGCTGTGATTTCTTTCAAACGTTGCCATCACGACCCCAGCCTGCTCAGTCACAGCTTTTGGCAATCCTGGAAAAACACTGACCCAGATTAAAACACTTTGGTACTGCCAGAGCTGCTGCATCTTATCTGAAAGCAAAGACAGCAAAGAAACCCATCTGAAATTCAGAACAAGAGCTCTGAAATCCAGGAATTCTGCAATGGGATCAAGTCAATCTCAACTCCTGAAGTGGCCACTCAGGGGATAGAGTTGAACCAAAGTTGAGGGTTTTTTTTGGTGTCTTTTCAATCAAATCTCACAAATCTCCGAAAACCTGCATTCCATAGAAAAACAAGCTACCAAGATCTGTTCTCAACTTTCCACTGAAAATCTGAAATAAATCATCTCACTTCTACCAAAGAAATTGTGGAAAGTCATTATTTCTCAGCTTGATCTTAATTTTAAGGAAGTTCTAAATTTTCAGGGGCACCACAGCTGGTTATAGTGTTAGAAATAACACTAATTCTGCCTTAAATCACATCACCACTGAAAAAACCCTAAACCTGAAGGCCAAAAATGGAGAATATAATTACTAATGAGTTGTGTTATGCAGTTCAGCCCATCAACCTGCAGTCCTGGATTACACATGAAATCTTCAGAAATAAGAGAAAGATCTGCTTGGTAGTGAAAATATAATTTTATTTAACAATAGCTGCCAGCAGTATACTGGTATATCTGTAAAAGATGTTCCAGAAAGTGAAAGACAAAAGCAAACTACAACAAACTGTATCAACTCTTCAAGTATTTCTGCAAACCACGCTCCAATCCTTGATGTCCTGTCTCGGGAGTCTCCATCCCCTCATCCTGCTCCCACCCCCTCCAGAAGCAAAACTCGGGAGTTGGTGGCACAGGTTTTGAGGGAGTTGGAGCATTTCTCACTTGGGTTTCAGCCTTCTCCTGAAAAACGTTCACAGGATGGGTTCAGGTGGTTCTGAGTGGCAAAGGGAGCTCAGCAGAGTTGGCTGCACTTCACCACTTTTTGTTCTGCACCCAGATAGGCATCAGTGGGTTTGGCTCCAGCAGCTCCCATTTACTCCTGTCTGTGCTCCTTTGATACCAAATGCTAATTTGCTGCTTTAGCATAAAAATTTGATTACATCTCTCTCCTTATCAGGGAGCTGCACGCAGCTCTCGATCAGTTTGGACATGCCCAGTGTGGAGAAAACACAATTTTATGGGAAAATGCAAAGCTGAAAGTTGGGGCTGCCCTTGTGGGACATCCAGGGAAGGGATGGACAGGGAAGCTGTGGAGGGGTTGGAATTGTTCCACAAGTCCCACATGCCTCTTGTTCCACAGGCAGCCTTTCCACAGCAGGGATCTCCTCAAGAAGGAAAGCGAAAAATAAAATAATAATGCACCTAGGATAATCTGTTCTCCCACACAAAAACAGGGTGCAGGTGATGGATTTTCCCCTTGTGTTCAGGGAATACACAAGTCACCTGTTTTAATGTGAATTTAAGCATATTTCAGCTTGAGAATAAAGTAAGTTATTCAGCATGCTAATACATGCAACCAACTTGCAAACTGGAATGCCTACTTGAAAGGGTAACTGCTGTTTTTAAATTGGAGAAGGGGCTAGAAGCAGCATTTTAAATTTAAACAGGGGGTAGATTAATTGCTGTTTGATGAAATTAAAAATGCATTTAAAGATCAGATTGTAAACAAGTTGACAGAAGTCAAGAATTTACATAGTTATGAAAGGGCTTTTTTTAATTAGTGTGGAGCTGGTGATTGGGGCCAGATGAAAGTGCTCTGCCCACACCAGACGCTGCCGTTCCCCGCTGCTCTGCAGGGATCACCTACGGAGCTGGAGCTGCTCCTCTCCACCAGATTCCTGCTGCCTCCCGAGCCAGGAGGGGCTGGGCAGCTCCTGCCACAACAAAACTGCAGCAGGAAGCCTGAGAGACACCCAGGACAGTTAGCATGCCAAGCTGGTGCTCACTGGAATTCCACCTCCGAGGGAAAGGCTGCTCTGTGCTGAGATAAGGAAGCCACTGGTCACAGACAGAGCTTGAACTCTGTTTACAAGCTCTCAGACACAACAAAATCACTGAGGGAGAAGGGGAATGGTTTGAAGGCTGCCTGAACAGCAGAGGGAATGGATTATGTCAGAAGAAGCCTGAGCTGGCGTTGAAGGAGGTGGGGGTTGCTTGCAGCACCCCAGGAGCTGTGGGTGCCCTGCTCTCTGCACTCCAGGGATGATTCCCTGGGAAGGGGAGCACAGCCTGACTCCACAACCCACCAACACAACTTCCAAGGGCCATCCTGATCTGCTTTTGAAAGGAGAGCTGAAAACTTGACAAAGATATGCCCACAATCACATACAGCTCTGTGAACCCTGTGGTGGCCAAGAGCACCAAACCAAGGAGGGTTGGGTTTGGGGTTTCTTCACCCCATGTGGCATTAAAAATGCTGTTCTCTAAATAAAAAAGTCATTCCTTTTTCTAGATGTCACGTTGTAGCAGAGACTGAAGCCCTACAGAGGATTCTTATGGCTGAGGAATTTTATTCAGGAGGGGAACGTGACATTAGAACAGTAATTATTAAAGGGCTGCAGTCAAGGTTCTCCTACCAGGTCACTCCCCAGGATTTCCCTCTGTGCCTAAACATTCCTGTAACAAATCAGAACAGGGATTAAGTGTATCTAAGAGAGTTGCCTTTGAAAGAGATGTGGCAGGATTGCTAAGTGCCTTTATATTGGAATTCTAGCTCTAGGAAGGCAAGGCACCACAAGCCAGGTATACAAATATGGATCTGGTTTCTCTACCTCTTCTATGTCCAGCTAACTCCATGGGTACATAAAAAAAAAAAAAAAAAAAAAAAAAAAAAGTCAGGCTGGTTTTCAGAAAGCCAGTGCTTTACCAAAAAAAAAAAAAAAAAAAAAAAAANAAAAAAAAAAAAAAAAGAAAAAAAATTTAGTGTATAAAAGTGTTTGTGTGAGCATTTCCACGTTATTGCAGAATGTTAAATATTCCAAAAACAACCTAGCAGGAATAGCACTTTCCAGCTTCTAAAATCAGTTAAATATAAAAGTATCTTTACAAAAAAATAGGCATATAAGTCTAGCATTCTTTGGAGTTGTTTATGATGGTCTTTTAAAAATAACCTAGCAGTTTATTTCGTGCATCAAAACCATTAATTTTAAACAAGAAAACTATTCCCTGGTTTAGAAACATTTGAAAATTGCTTTTAAAAAAATTGTAGTGCTATTCCTCAGTGTTGCTGTAAAAAGAATTATGCATAGTAGTGCAATGATTATGAGTATGCAAAACTGCAGTCCAGGTGCACAAAAACAACTGGGATAAATTCAATGGAAAGGACTGGATTCCACCACCATTTCTTTACAAAATTCCAAGATTTCCTTTCAGAAAAAAAATCTTACTATCATTTAAGGCAAATGTACTCTTTAAAGGTCACTTTAGCTTTCTTCAGGGAAGAAAGGGCATTAAAAAGTTCCCATTTCATGGCTCTCAGTCCATTTTGCATCACTAATCATTGCACTGCTATTCCCCACCCAGAGTTAGGACACTACAGTTTCCATGGATTTGGGCTATGACAGAACAGGTTTTTAAGTAAAAATCACCAAAAATACCTATACAAAACAAAAAGGCTCTTAACTACCAAAAAGAAAGCCACTTGCAATTCTTAAGGAACAGAGGGCAGCTTCCAACTCTGTTGTTCCTAATGGAAAATCCTGACAATTATTTGTTTGCTGCAACTCAAAATTCATACAATGCAGGTGTTCAAATCTCCTCAAGCTCTTGAAGACACAATAAACGTAAACTCTGAGCTTTGAGCTTCCTGCCCCAGCTCTCAAGCCTGGATTCAAACTTCTCTGATGCTGAGGTCATTCAAATCCAAGGTTGACATTGAGTCCATTCTCAACCATTACTATGACTTCAAATCCAAGAAATTTTTAAAAAATACAACAAAACAAACCAACAAAACATCGCCAAATATTTTGCAAATGGCTCTTTTGGATACTAAGTTCCCTTCTCTATGTAAATAGGATAGACAAGCAGGTACAGTTCAACGTGTCACAGGCATGACAGGTGTGTACAGATCTTCTGGAAAAGCAATAAATTCCAAAATACATAAATATTCCTTGTACCATACAGTGAGACAGGATCCTAAACCAATTCCTGGACAAATCATAGACTAAATGTTTACAGAGAAAAGCAGCAGGGGCAAGCCAACCCTTCACACTGAAGAATCCAGAGTCACCCCAGTGCAACGGGAACACGACTGCATCGATCATACTCAAAGGCTGTGAGAGGAGGTCAGGAAAAACAAGCCTGTAATTAAGTCTGCAAACTTTAGGTAATTACTGTACCTGGTCTATCCACGTGACTTGGAGTAACTGCGAGTTCATGCAAAAAACAATTGCTATTGATATGAAAAGAGCAGTCTGTTAGAAGCATTGTTATGGGATATGCAGGACCTGGTCCTTTGCAAGTGCTGGTTACTTGGTGAGTCTCTTGGCTACGTCACTGTAAGCTATTTCAATCTCCTTGTCTCCAGGACAGGTGTTGGTGAACTCATCCCTGCTGTAAGCATTTGTCAGGTATCTCCAGATCCCTGTCATCTCCTTGGGAATCTCAAAGTTGCGGTATTTTTTGGCCACCACCTGGAACACAAGAATTATGCTATGAATTTACATCCTTCCTTGACTTTAAATACTTTTCCAGCCCTGGCCATTCTCTTGTGAAGTTATCCTTTTGGCTTGGATGCTTGGGATGGTTCCTGCAGTTCCCAGAGGCTGTTCCTGAGGGATGCCCCTGGCCCTGGCTGTTCCTCAGGGCTGCTCCTGCCTCGCTCCCCTTGGGGCAGTGCTCACCCAGGGAAACTCTTCCGCAGGCAGGCAGAAACTGAGCCTGTGGCTCCATCTGCAGTACAGAACTGACACAGATCACTGCAGGCAGGAGGAGGAATCAAACCACACTGATGTGGGCACACCTGCACTCCTGTGCTTGTCCCAGGCTGCCTCTTCCAAGATTCCAACTTGAATTTTTTATCCAATCCCTTTACTTCCCTCAGTGTCATGTACTTTGTTCTGGAGCAGTTTCCTCTACAGAAGTGAGCAGACACCCACTTCAGCCATTACCTGCTCCCCTGATCTTCACCTTCCTCCTCCTCCTCCTCCTCCTTGTGAGCTCTGCAGATCTGAGACCACGAGGTCAGTGCAGGGAAATGGGGTTTGGCCCCTGCCATTCACATCCTCTGCTGCCCAGCCTGCCCCAGTTTCACACCTGCACTGAACTCCACTGCTCAGAGCCCTCAAACCCTGCACAAATTCAGCTGCTAACAGTGCACTTAAGCTTACAGACAGCTGCAGTTAGCTGGGCTCAGGAATGGCACAAACCACAAATATTTTCTCCTGCATTTTCCCTTGCCACTCCCCAGGTTTTACCTTGACAATGTGCAGTTTGGGCAGCAGGTTGCAGTCGGCCAAGGTCATCTCGTTGCCATCCAGGAACTTGCGGGTGGAGACTGTGACATCCTCCAGGCTGTTCTCATCGATCTCGTCGGGCAGAGGGGAGTTCAGGTACTCATCCAGCTTCTGCAGGGTTTTCAAGAGGCCACGTTCTAAGGCTGCACAGGAGGGGATGATCCAAAACAGACATTAAACTGAGACTGGTACCAGATCTGAAATACAAACCCCATGGACCTGAAGGATTTGTAACTCTTGGTCAGTTTTTTGTGCCTCTGTGCTCACCAGAACACTGAAACTGGACCAAAATCTCTTTAAATATCTCACATATGCAGTTTATTTAAAAGCTGGCTAATATAGGAGCTTGCACTAATTTAAAATACTGTAAGACTGCCCACAAGGGTTTATTTTTGGTTTAAAAAGTGGCTTATGTCAGTTTCTTAAGACTGTGCCTAACTGGCTTAAACTGATTAGAATTAAGCTATGCTGGGGTTTATATACATTTAAACATAATCTGTTTAATGTCACATGCTCAGCAAACAGCCCTGACCAACCCAGAGCACCCAGCTGGAGCTGGAAGCAGGATATGGAAAGCAACAGCAGGTTTATGGAATGCAGCAGCAGAGGGCAGCACACCCCATAAAATCCCCGTTTATTTCCCAACTATTCACAAATATTTTGCATCTCTCCCTTTGAAAAGCAGCAGAAAGGAACCCTGATTCCCTGAATTTGGTTTTCTCTCTAAGTACTTTGAGGACAAAATTGATTTGTACTGAACTACTTAAAGGCCCAGCTGTGAGTTCTTTACCCCTTATTGATCCCTCATATGAAATCTCCTGTTTTCCCTCCACACAGAAAGGTTTTAATCCTTTAATGGAAGTGACACAAACTAAGCTTAGCTCAGAACTCTGAATGGAAGCCCTCAGTCCTAGAGAGGTGAAATAAGAGCAGCAGATGAACAGAAATCCAACCATTGGGGCATGACACAAACTCTGTCTGAAATTTGCTTCTGGATGTGGAAATATTTATCCTTCATTCAAGAGTTTTGAGTGGCTGCTGCACAGAGAAGATCCAATGCTGGGGATATTTATGAACCATGCACACCCCACTGAAATTCTGATTGAAAGCAGGAGTGCACTGTCCCCCCAGTGACCCACCTTCATTAGCTTCTGGTCTAGAGTTCTTGATAAAAGCAGAAAATTTGGCAAATATGTCCATTCCAGCAGTGTTGGATTCTGGATGCTTTGGTGAGAGTTTCAGGTACCTGAAAAGCAGCAAGGAGCAGATCTACAGCACTTTCAGCAGAATGGTGCTCATTATCCATGAACTAGCACAAAATGGCACTTTGTTACTGATTTATCCTTTTCCAGAATGGCTCCTGAAGTGTAGTATAGTACTAGTAAACACACTTAGTAGTAAGCACACTAAGGTTTTTAAACCCAGCATTTCCAGAGGGAGACCAAAGCACATTGCTGCTTTCTGAATGAGACACTTGGTACAAGCAGAGTGTCTGAGGAGCACCAGAGCTCCCTTAATCTAGTGCTGCCAAGGGGGCACACACACATCTGTGAGCAAAATATAGGGTTTTCCATTTTAATTAACATCAGAGGACTCCACATCTTTCAAAAAAAGCCTGAAGTTTTGCCATGCTGAAAAGACAAAACAGTTCAGTCTGTCAAAGGCAGCGTCTGGATCTGCCTGCCAGCTGAAGAGTAGAAAGCCAAGAGTCTGGAGAAAGTTTGAACACATTATAAAACAGTCCCACTATAGTTTAGGACTAAGTTTTGTACAGCAGACTCATCTTCATTTGCATTATTTGAACACAAATGTGCCTGTCACCAAAAAGAAGAGTTTGAAAGTGCAGAAAGGATGACCAGGGTATACAAAGAATAATTTAAAAATAATCTTAGTGAGAAAACAGTTTTTGATCTAAAGATGGGGGAGCTGAGGGGAGGAAGGTATGACAAGCAAGAGCTATCCTCCATGTCTTCAGTTTCTTGATGCTGAAGAACACCTTACTTAGGGCAGCAATCCCCTGTGAGAACCACACTTACTTGGGTGGGGCCAGAACATCTTCCAGGAACTCTTCAATCTTGTTCACGTCTGTTCTCACTTCCCCATTGTATGTGATGAAGGGTGGGTGAGTGCCTGGAGCCAGATTCTGAAGGTCTGCTGGTTTCCTGGGGTGAGATGCAAACCCATGAAGAGCAAGCAGAGGACAAAATTTCATTGCTTCGACCACAAAAGCACTGCTGAGGTTTCCACATCCTCAGTTTTAAACAGATACCACCAGTTTACTTTCTAAAATGTGAGTTTACAAATAAACATTTTGAATACTCTTGCTAACAATTAATTTAAAACAGTTAAAAACAATTTCCTCCTACCTCTGGCTGTGTTTATTCTCAAATCAATACAGTGTTGACTAGAAGAGGGATACCTGTACACACACCACACATTCTCCCTCTTTCCCCAGCCCTACAGAAGAGTTTATATATAGCATAATCTGTGCTAATCCTCCCCCCTCACACAGAGCTGCTCTGGAAAGAAGCAACTTTGCTCCAGCCCAGTGTATAAAGCATTTATTACGTGCCCAGGGAGTTTGGGTCCAGGCAGATGCTTCAGTTTCCTCCAGTGAAAAAAGGAATTTACAAACAAGAGCAGCACACCTGGGAGAGGAATCCCACATTAGGGTTAGACATGAAACAGCAAAAAGCTGAAATACTAAGCCATTTCTAGTTCTATTTCTACGTAACATTTCCCTCAGCAGAGCAACCACATCCTGCTGGCCCAGCCACAACAAACACTGGCCCAGCTGAAAACTCTGCCAAGGTAAAGCTGCCCCTTGGTTCCTGCTGAACAAATCCAGACTGGACCATAACCCTGACCTGGGACTGAGCCCTGTCCAGCGTGGCCACGTTCCTGAGCCAGCTCCAGGCATGCAGGAGCTGGATTTCCTGGAAACTGCAAGTGCAGTGCAAGAAATCCTCCTGACAACACCAGACAGGGAAACTGAACTGGTGACATCCACAGCCCCAGTCCTGCAGGGCAGCATGAGAGAGCAGCACGTCCAGGGAGAGCAGCTGGACTCTAAACTGAGCCCAGCTTACAATCAATCTTGTTTTCCATCTCTTACAAAATTAAGAACCCCAGTCAGAATTTCATGTCCTGCCCGCTGCTGCCCCTTTTATAGAGCCAAGGGTGCTTACTTGTAAGACTGAATGAGAAAAGTGATTTTCATACTTTACCCTGCTTTAAGCCAGGGGATGGAAACCTTATGAATACAGGAATTTAACTATTTTCAATTTGCAAGCTTCTGAGAAGTTATATCTCACTAAGAGCTGCCACCACTCTCTCACTTTTAGGATTTAGAGTCTGTCATTGGGTAATGCTTTAAGTAGCTTAACAATTCATTTAAATACAGCTTTGTAACTCCCAACAATTACAGGAAGTCATCGTGGCTCCCTTCCAGTTCCCCATGTTGGCCAGATAAAATTCCTCAAAAGGAATGTTATTTTAAAAACAAACAGGGGCAAGACCACAGGATCTGCAGGAATACTATCAAAGGCAAGCTTTAGTTCAGAAACAGATTATTCCAAAGAACTACCCAAAAAAGTTTCCCAAAGAACCAGAGTGCATCTCGGAGTACTTTATCCATCCAGGCAGACCACCTGGATCTTTCATCAAGAGAAAGAAAGCAGAGATGAAGATCCACAGGCCAGGCCCAAACACAACTCAGGGTTTGACTTCCAGTTTGCTGCTCCTGCCAGGAGATCCTAACCAAGCCCTTGGAGCAAAGCACACAGGAACAGCCTTAAAAGGCTCAGAGTACAAATTCCCTTAACAGTCAAACAAGAAGGCAATTACTGTAACAGTTTTACTTCAGAGATAAAGCTGGAGAGCTTAGAAACCAAACCCAAACAAAAAACCTTTCTGTAACCACTCCAAGTAATTCCAAGATGGTTTGTGCCTACCCCAAAGTTTACCAGGGGTTTTGGAGGCAGGGCCACATTAATTATCTGGCCATCACTCATGGCCAAACACCTCATGGCTTTGCCACAAACCAGAATAGTAATTAGCATGCAAATTATTTCTTGTACAGCAGACAAAATTCAGCCCTTAAATGGAATACATTTATAAATTACACAAATACTGCAATGAGGATCTGAAGGGTAGCATGGGGAAAAGCCAGCACTAAACCCCAGTTCCTCAGCAGTATTTCACACTGCCGAAGTTGGATTCACCTCTGGGTGGTCTTTAATATTCAATTTGAATATTTCATACCGTTATTTAAGCTTTGCCTGTCAAAGGAACTGTAAAAGCTCCAAATGAAGATGCTTCTAACAGGATTTCAGTGCTGAGCTGAAGGCAAGCTGGCTCTGAGTGCTGTTCCAAGCCCAACAAATGGTTTGTGCAGTGCAGCTCTGCTCTGGCCTCCAGAACAAGCCAGAGCTCTGGGCACAGAAACGCTGCTGCCCAGAAGGGAAGAATGAAGCCTCTGTGTGCCCAAAGAGAGGGAAGAAATGCCTGACTCCTTGCAGAGGGTGGGACTGCCCTCCTCTTGGCCTATGTGCATATTTTGTGTGTTGAGAGCAGAGGGGAGCACTGCAGAATGTGCCTTTGTTAGCACAGGGCAGTTCTGGAGGGGAAAGCACAGGCAGAGTCAGGCAAGGCAGGCTCAGATTTTCCTGTGTCCCATGTCCCTCACTTGTGAACTTTTGTACCCAACCATGACCTTTTCAGCCTCACAAACAGACAGAACTGGCCTTGCTGCTGTGCAGCACTGACGTTATGAGGCACAGGCAAGCAAAGCCTTTCTTCTGGTTTTGGCCAACAAAATAAATTCAGTTTTTTTAAACAATTCCTGCTCTGCTCTTTGAGTTTGTGTCTAACAGGAACAAGGAGCAGAGGAGATAATTGGCTTGAATAAAGTGCTCACAAAAGCAGTTTCTTGTAGCAACATTAAGGCACCACCTAACATCTATTATCATTCTGGCAGTGATAACAAGGGGAAACAGCCCCACGTGGTATCAAACATTTCCTATTAAGCACTTGGCTGGATGTGATGTTCTGCAAGCTGCACTGCTCTGCCACTGGGTATTGATCAGTCCACAGTGTTCAAGTTGTATTTAATGACATCTAAATAAAGTCTAGAAGGAATTAAGTTTGCATCAATATCTATTCCAACCTGAACTAGCTTCAGTGGTCTTTTGTTTCCTTTCCCAGAGAACCCCTCCAGTGCACAACACAAAGGTGGTTTATTTGACCTACTCCTCTGCAGATCTTTAATTTTGCACTTATTTTCTGTTTTCCCCTCCTCAACAGAAAAAAAAAAAAAAAAACCTGAAAGAAAGCTTTCCTTGTTTAACAAAGGTCAACTTTAAACATCTGCAACCAATTTATAGGCTAAAAGTTAGTCTTACATCCCATTCCCCCATCCAGTTAACTGCAAGTTGCCAGGGGGACGCAAAATAAAACCAATTCATCAGGAATATTTGGCATTTTAATGATATCTAAACTGGTTCAGCAGTAAAAAGCCTTTCAAACCTAAAATATCTCTGTTCACCTCCTCCTCCTGCCCACCCCAGTAACTGCAATAGGTTAAACAACCCCATCATTAAAGAAAAAGGAAATCCCAAACTACCAAGAGCCACAGGCACCAGTTCTGCTCCTGAGCTTGCACAAACCACGGGCAGGGCTCGGTGGAAGATGGGACACGTTTGGTTTATGGGGCTGGCAGCACCAGTATTTGCAGGGAAATCCCACACTGCCCAGAAAAGCCCTTTGAGCAGCTCCAAATGCACCCAGAGCTGACAAAAGCTGCTTTCTGCCCCTCACCACACATGGAAGCCTTTAAAACTCCTTGCCAGCACTGAAGCAGAAACTTCAGTGAATTTTAAAACCCAAACAAGTCACCTCCCTCAAAAAAATCCCAAGAGGTTAAGTCCAGCAGCAGGGTGATTTCTCCCTCCTATGCTGGATTCAATGCAGAACACTGTGTTTCTGTTGGCTTTATTCCTGAAATTCAGGTTTGGAGGCACTGGCAGCCTCCCCTCTGCAGAGCTGTGACCAACAGAGTTTTCCATCAGTGCTGGGAAAACATGACTTCACACCCAAAGCAAACACAAGGCCCCTGCTGAATTTAGCCCTTTCATAAAAAAGAATGCCCAGCCTGAGGAAATTAAGACTTCTGAATTCACTTCTCACTGTTTTTAGCCACCAAGGTACTCATTTCATAGAGGAGCAGTTGCAATTTAGGTGACAGCACCATGGCTTATCTGGCTGACACAGAACATTCTACATTTTATTCCTACCCATTTCACTTGGATTTACCTCATGGGCAGGTATTTTCATTATTATTGCACAATAACCAAAATAATCTTAAAAATGTTAAGAAAAGAAGGAGGCTGCACATTGTTTGTGACAATTATCCATCACTGGAGATTTGACAAGAAGGTGGTCGACTAAAGATATCCATCTGTCCCCACTTAGGGCATCTTGATGTGAAGTCAGTAGAGTCAATGTTCAGTTACAAAAGACTTGTGTGAGTTTTACAAAGAATCACTGAACAAATTCAAGAGAACTTACCATTATTTTTGGTTAAATCATCAATGAAAGCACCATTTGCATCCAGGTTGCCTCAGTTAATTATTAGAACACATTTTAATTTCACAAAACCAGTCTGTGAGCCATAAAAGCTCTGGCCAAAGCTTTGTTCCACCAAGGGTGCTGAACTTCTGCTGGTCCAATGAAACAAAGATTTCTTACCTCTTCAGGTCCACTGTTGTGACACTGAACACGACTCCCTTCAGCCACAGGATCATGAAGAGCCTCTGGGAGAAGGGACAGTTTCCTATGCTCTCACCATCACTGCCAGCCTGCAGGACAGAACAGAGCAATGATGTGGTCAGGGCTGTGCCATCTGCTCATCTCACAGCCACTGCAACAGCTTCAGTTAAACACACGCTCAGTACAACTGAAATTGCTGCATTCGTCAAGTTTTTACTTGTCATGTCCTCTAGCTGCTCAAACAACCTATGGAGCAATATTTCAGTTATCTGTGACACTGCCAGGGCTGCAGCTGCCCTTGGCAGCTGAACATCCTCCTGAGCAGCCACACCTTCTGATGGCAGCTTTCCAATGACAATGCTGTTCTCTGCTCTTTATTATTCTTTTTTCTTTCTTCTCCAAGGCATAGCTAATTAATTGGAGTCATCTCCCAGTTCAGTGCCTCTATCTCTGCCTGTGCAGTGCTCCAGGGAGCCAACTGCAGCCAGGAACTGAGAATTGATTGTACTGCAGGTGTTGTGAGGAAAGACATAACTGTGAGTACATAGAGACTTCACTGACAATTAAATAATATCCCAAAGCCACTTTTTATAGGCAATTTATCAATCAGTCTTTGTCCCAGCACAACAAAGGCCCATTAGAAAGCAGCAGTGAGCTCCCAGTGATAGCACACATCTCATCATCGCTCTGACAATGAAGGATACATTGCTGACTTGGAAAATTTTAGTTTTTTCTGGGCAAAAATGAGGCACTGGAAACCTTTGTTATAAAATTGAATCCTCTGAGAACTCATTCAGTTCTTAAACCTGCCAAATTTGTCCGATTATTCTGACATGTACTTCATATTAGATGGGTTTCAATGGATTTGGTTTATTATTGTTATTATTACAATCCTTCCAAGAGGGATTTTCATCCATGCAATCCTCAAAGCTTGGCCAACTCTTTCATCATCACAGTGAGAATTCAGAAAGACTTTGCAAGTTAAGAAGAGTAACAGCAGGATTTTCAAAGCATAAAATAAAGGCCAGGAAAATAGAGTTTTTCAGTAAAACTGTTTTGAATTCAGAAAGCTGTTTTGGGTTTTGTAAAATCATCTTTATTTGCAGATAAAGCTGAGTCTCTTTAACAGCTGCTGAGGATTTTAAAATTAATGAATGGACTCATTCCTGCAAGTGTCCCTCCTGTCAGAGCTTCCAAAGCCCTGGTTATAGACAGAGTCAGTTTTCTTCAAACCTTTATTAGTGTCATTAATGAAGACTTGACAGAAAAAGGAAGTTGTTATTCTGCCATAAATTACGAAGTGCCAGCTTTATCTTTGGATAGTAGAGTCAAACTTGCAGCAGATTATTATTGATGGATTGTCTTAAACTCTGCCATGTGTTTGCTCAGGAGACTGAATTCTAGAAGAATCTAGAAAAAGGATAATATGTTAATATTTAACTCCATCACTGTCCCTGCACACAGCAGGCTGGATTTCAGCAATTCCCTCCCCTCCACCGTGTTTACACTGGAACTGACATTTCCTACAGGTAAATTATAGATTTATATTCATCTGCTTTTTCTGTTGCCACATGTCAGGTCTGATCTACCTTTGGAAAAAAGGGACTGAAAAACACAACACAGCATCCCATCTAAGGAAAATAGATATTTTGTACTGCCCAGGGTAATTCATGCTTTGAAGCAGAAATAACTCTGACTCAGAACTGATCTGAGTCCTCAAACATCAAGCAAAGCCTGAGTTACACTGCAGCAACAGCACAGGCTGAAATCCCCATCCCATTAAACTTTACTTGGCTCACTGGAATCCAAACCAAAGCTACTTTAAAATCATAGAACTGCACAAAAAGTTGTTTAAAATTTCAGGCTGACCTGTGGCTTTCCTTAAGGTCCATCCTAAGCCAAAATCAAATGGACCAAAAAAGGTCAAATGCATTTTCTTATCCTGAAACTTTCCTTCTCTCCCAACTCAAGTGCAACATTCAAAGTGAACAAGCAACCAGCAGCATCTGCTTTAGTTTAGGACAGGCTGTTTGGATAATTTGAGTCAGAGGAGGGGATTAGAGCCCAGTAACAGTCAGTGAGATGCACAAAGCCTGATGCACTCTCAAAGCCCAGCAGCCCAAACGGAGCCCAGACTGTTCTGTCTGCAAACGTTTGTCCCACTTCTGCTCCAAAAAGCCCCAAGTTATTCTGAGCACACACTGCAGAAGGAATGCACTCAGAATGCCAAGAAACTTTGGCTCCAGAGCTCTGGAGCCAAGGAATTCTGCTCTGTAAGTGTTTGCCCGAGAGGCCCATTTTGTGGCTGTGTTTGATGCTCCAGCCCCTCCTCGGGAGCAGCCAGCTCTGGATTCTCCCTGGTCCATGGATTCTCTTCTGAGGGTCCCCACTGTGCTGGGTGCTCCTGCAGGAGTCACTCCTGGCTCTGATTTTCTCTGCCAGAACACGGCTCTGCTGGCAGTAAACTCTCAACTTGACATATTAGAAGAATATTCTGAAATCTGACATGATTTGTCATGCAGGGGTTAATCACAGAATAATTGTTGCTTGTCATTGCCTTGTCTTTGAATTCAGGCCATAAAATTCCAGGATCTCTTCAGTGTCTAATCCTCATCACCATCAGAGTAAAGCAAATATTACGTGTTGACTTCTTTGCAATAACAGGTTATTTGTTATTTAACAAGGTTATAGTCATTCTGTACTGAGAAGCTTTGGGGTTTTATTGCAAATTCTTCTTAAAACCAGTCAAAAAAACTTTATTACAAGAAATATTGGTAATATTACTAATTTCAAACTGCCTGCAATTAGGGCTAATTTCCAATTCTGCCGTCATCCACTAAAGGATATGCACTCAAAAACCTCACCATATATCAAATTTCACTGAATTTCAGGTTTTCAATTGTAGAGATTAGGATCAGACAGAGGAAAAGTGCCACACCTCTCACACAGCAAGGAACATGGAATTTCTCACTTGCATGTTACCCTCTACAAACTGAATTGAATTCAAAAAGCTTCTGAAAAGGTGGCAAAAAGGACCTTGTTAATTGTAAGACATGGCACAGGGAGAGCAGAGCACACACCCTCCAGAACACAGCTCTACAGTGTTCTATGAAAACAAATAAAGCTATTTTTAAAGAAACGTTAAATAAGAAAGGAAGTTCAAACAAGAACGGGAGAGTTCCAAGGCAGTAACACAGATCAGCTGCTCATTGAGAAGCCAGCCTGCTTTATCACAGCCACACTGAAATTCCTGGCAACTCCCAGGGCCCATGCCCGAGTGCAGCCCTTGGGAAAGGGAAAAACCCCCAAAATCTGCTTATCCCACTGTCTGCAAGAGTGAGCTTAGCTTGGGAGCCACCTCCTCCCTTTCTCTTCCCCTGAGTAGTGATTTCATTCAAATGAGACCGTTTTTCAAAAAAAAAAAAAACAAAAAAACAAAACCCCAGAGAGTACAAGTAATCAAACATCTGTTTGAGTGGCTGAATAAGCTAAGGGAAGGAAAAAAATCCATTTAAATTGTGAAATGTTTGTCTCTACAGCTGCATAAAAATTAACCTGAGTCCTGACATGAGAACCTGAGTGGATTTACCTTAGCAAGGGAATGCTGAATTTTATTGCAAGACTAACAAAAAGCCAGACAAGCAAAGAAACATTAAGAGGGCACAAAACCCTTCTTATACAGCACAGATCTGAGAATTCTAGAAATCCTTGGTCCCAAAGATTTCTACAAAATTGTTTCAAATATTAACCAGTTAAAAGGAGCCCACTACAAGTTTCCCAAACTAGATCAAATAACTGTAGAAAAAGAATAAAGTGCATCTGATGAGTAATGTAGTACAGCTCAGTCTCTGCCTGCAAAAATAGAACAAAAGGAAAGGGCAGAACACCAGAAGACCATTTCTTAATTTACCCAAAACTCTCAAGGGAATTTCTCCCAGAGCTGATACCAGAAGTGATATAAGAAGTTTGGATGAAGAGGGATAAAGATGTTTTAGAAGCATCTCACAGAATACTTTTCACCAAAGACAACGACTGGAGCCATCTGACTGCAGCACCAAGGAAATCCCCACTCCCCCAAGTGGGAAATCTGCACTCTGCAAAGTCTAGAAGAATAATGTTCCAGCCAATAAACAGATTGGGGAGAAAATGAAAATGAAAGAGAGGGTATGTTCTGAACTCAGTAATCTTGAAATATGTCTTGAGTTCTAACAATGAAAACCAAACCTGCTGAGAAAACTGTACGAGCAACCCAGCATGATGCAAAGCCATTGCCTCAAACCAGCAGATAACAATCAATTTTGCATGTTTAATGAGCAGTAAGCTCATTCCAAAAGTGAGTAATTAATAATAATCCTTTAAGGATTACTGTTTTGAGAGGAAATGGTTTAAGGTGAACTAACAAAGCAATTCAAGTGAAAAACCTGCAGCAGGTCTGGGATAAAGGAACAGAGGATACAGACAGGAGTGGTTTGATGTTCCACACATGAAAAGGGTCTGGCTGTATCAGCCCAAATCCTTGGGCCTTTCTCTTGCCAAGCTGAACAGGCAGAATCCCGTGGTGCTGACTGAAGGTTTTCAGATGAGATGTAAAGAATTACAGGCATGGAAGGAGTGACAGCAATCGATGGAACGAATGCTCCCCACAGTGCCATTAGTGCAACTGCTCCCTGTGCTCGGGCAGGGCGTGGAAGAGCCTCAGGGATGCTCTGAGCTCACACTCACTCTGCAAACCAAAGCAGACCTTAAAGGCTCCCAGCGGCTCAAGTATTGATGAATATTGATGTTCTCCTCTTACTCAAAGAGCAAACCAAGTGACAAGGTAGTGCGGTGCAGGCTGGAAAAGCTTATCTGCAGTAGTGTTCACCTCCTTGCCAGCCTCCCAGAGCTGCAGTTTGAGAAGGGAGTTGGTTTGTTTTTAGGGGAGGAACAGGTCAGGGAGCAAGGCAGAGTCCAGCCCTGACTAAATCCGGTTCAACCAGATTTAATCTGAGCGCTGAGTGACAGGGACGCTTCCTCCTGTCACCTCTGCCTCTCCAGGACAGGGCCACGACCTCCAGGGCAAAGCTTTTCCTTGTGCCACCAGGCAGAG